CACACACACAGATTATACAAACTGCAGCAAAAATCAATGCAATCGAGATTAATTTGCATGGGCTCGAGATGATTTACCTTCGCTCTCATGGTGAAAGGTGAATTGCTACTGAACAGCTACGCCGCCGAGTCTACAGAAACCTGAAAGAGAAATGAGTGTGTTGTGGATAAAAAAAACCCTAGCTGCAGACGAGGCTATATATATAGTGCATTTATCGGTTAGTGAATGGGCTTTTGGAGTTGTATTGGGTAATCAAAATTGTAGCCCAGTAAATAATAATGTGTGTTTGGCCCGGATTGCAGTGGGCTGTCACGTGCCAAGCCCATTTTTCAGTTTTACTTTAAAAAAAAAATTTAAAAAAAAAAGTTTTAAAGTTTGCACGTAACTCAAGCTCGAGCTCGAGCAACTTGAGTCCGCATTCGAATTGATCTCGAGTCGAGCATTTTGAGGTCAGTGATGCAAAACAAACACAAACTAAACAAAAGTTGACATACTTCCGGAAGAAAGACAAACATTCCGATAACGGATAAATAAATAAAATACCGAAATAAATATATACATGAGAAAACAATACAATTAATTAAATTAAAGTCTCTCATCCTCGAGATAATTTGTCACCACCATTATAACCAGAAGCCTTAAGTCGCTAACACCGTCCTCCAACAAATTCACCATAAAATCTCATAAATGTGAGCAATGCTTTGTTTTTTTCTCTTTTTTTGCCCTATTAGAAGCAAGTGTCAGTTGGGATTTTATTCTCAGTTTTTATTCACCGAAATGTGGGATAAGTTGCATTTTCTTATCATTTTATCTACTTTGACATTTGCAGTGGCCCTTTCTCTGATTTTATCATTGAGGATGCAGCAAGATAAACATGGTCTTGACTCATCTTGTTCAGTTGATTTTACACATATTTTTTATGTGCTGTTTTTCGTTATCTTGTTCAGTATATATCAAACAAGAAAACGGTAGTGATGGCACCAGAGAAAAACACAAAGTATCAAAGCAAAAGAAGTCTTTCCAGATTACTTTAACATCTATTTCTATTGAAAAAATAAGGCCAAAATAGTAGTAGAATGTAAAAGACACATTTTCTAGTCTAGTATATAAACGAGGCCTCGTACTCCATGACTAAAAAGTAAAACGACAAGCAAATACAAAGGACAATGTCAAATTTCAAAAGGAACCGAACAAACTAAAGAAAATGAAATCTGAAATTCTTAGGCAACTGCACCATTTTCGGCTTCATCCACTGGCTCAGCATCAGCTGTATCATCTTTGGCTTTATCTTCTTTCTTACCTGCAAAATTAATACATCATGTATTACAAAACAGTGTTTTACAAATCGAGCAATCCATATATATACTTTCAACCAACCTTTCTTCTTTTTGCCTCCACCTTTCTTCTTAGACTTAATGGGCAATGATAACCAGGCTTTAATCTCCGGATCATCTACTGTTTTTGTGGGTTGCAGTTCTTGTAGAGGATGAGAAGTGATTCGATCTGACCCGTTTGGCATTAGCAAAACAGTGAACTTGACATGGGCAACAAGATCACCTGTAATATAATAATATCCGCCGAGCAACCAATATATGAGAAAAGCAACACAAACCAAAAAAAGTTAGAAAAAAAAATGTACAGATTCATTGGAGAATCTGTAATTCATACCGGGTTTTTCGTGAAGTACGGGATAAGGCTGTAGAAGATCATGATTCACGCATTCTACAAGGCCCAAACGAGCGCGCTTCTCTTCCAAAGCCCTGCAAATACGCGTTTATCCAAATAACTTATATTCAGTTTGAAGGAGAAAAATGAACAGTAACCTGCAACAAAAATGCACTAGTTGAGAACCACTAAAACCTTGCTGAAAATGGCATGATTGGGAATTTCTGGCTTATCTCGCTGAAAATGAACCGAGATGCTTTCATCTTTAGGTGATAGTTCTTGTCGACTGCCCTTTTATATATAGTTGTTTGTTTCTCATCCAATAGTTTTGGCTGCAAGTAGCACAACAAGTTCCATAACAAAAATTCAAGCACAAGTAAATAAAATTATTCATAAATTTCCTCCATTTCAACTTACCTTGCCTTCACCAGTACTTGTAACGATGTCAATGGAGTACACCTCATTTTCTTCAAATTCAGCTTCATCAACTCGTGTCTCGGGTGACGAGACACTTAAGACAACTTTGTTACCATCAATCACAAATTGCTTCATTTGATGACTAAGTACTCCCTCGACAATCTTGCAGTCGTAAGCAGCAGCAACTTTCTGTATTGCCTCAGTGACATCTTTATTCTTCCAACAAGAGCAATAAATGAAAAGAAGATATAAGTTCAATTAACCGATACAAATCCAAGGTATAATCAACAGTATAATGTGGGTCTCCAGAATATTTCAAACATACTTAATTGAAAGTAATTATATACTTCCGTACACTGTTGGTAATTTGCCTAATTGCTAAATTTGGATTCCTAAAATAATATAATAGCCTATTAGCAAATTGCCAAACAGATTTCCCTTAAATCAGTCCCAAACAACAGAAGTCATGCCAT